CCGCCCCCGCCCCCCCCGCCGCCCCCCCGCCCCCCCCCGCCGCCCCCCCGCCCGCCCCCCCCCCCCCCCCCCCCCCCCCATGTGTGCCGTACAGTTCGTCGCGGCGCTTTAGATGCTTGTCGTAGTTTACGAAGTCATCGCGGCGTTGCTTTAACGTCCGGTTGTCTATGCCTGTGTTCTCGCCCGGTTTCGGTGGCTGCGGCATACCTATCGGCCGGTTCAGCGGCTTCGGCGTGAACTCTTCAATCCGCTTGCCGTAGGACCTCGGCGCATCTTCTAACGGAGAAGGAGGTATAAACTTGACCGGCGCCGGCGAGACTGGTGTCTCCGTTTTGGCCGGTTTGTTACTTGCGGCAGGCTTTATAGCCTTCGTAGCAGCAGGACCTTGCTCCGCCAGCAAGCGGTACGAGGTGCTAAATGCTCTCGATTGGCAGATCAGGCATAGGAGCCCCGGCCTACGGGCAAGCAACATGATTCGAGGAGATATAAAGCCAATAGTTAATACATTTCAATGAGATGGTTGCGAGCTGAGGCTGAGCGGATCCTGCCGTTAGCATCACGCACTTCGGATTCCAACGTCGTAAAATTTCAAATAAGGCCGAAGCTAAAAGGTTTAAAAAAAAAAAAAAAAAAAAAAAAAAAAGTATTACCTAAGTGACATTATCAAGTGGCATTATCGCTCATCAAGGTTGGCGGCACGTCTGCAGGAACGCGACCTAGTGGATCCAATGACATAGTCATCCAATTGTAGTGGGGGTAAGGGTATAAAAAGCCTTAAAAGCGGCTAGGCGGCCACAATCGGCTTCCCCAGATTCCGGAAAGCAACGGCACAATGTGGGGGAATTGGAAGTCGTCGGTCTAAACCCGTAGCTTTTTGAAAGGGCGGGAAGGTCAGCATCGATACCTAAGTTGGTTTCTCCCCTCTTACCTTCCTCTTCTTCCATGAACCGAGCTTCCCATGCATTAGTTGCGTCTCGTTTCGTTTTTAGATATCCAAAATGTAATATTCCCAATTCAACTATATACCCATCTATATACAATGTTTCTTCACCGTAGTTCTCGCGCAATTCGCCATCAATGGCAACTATGCCGGAATCTAAATCGCACCCCCGAGTCGCAAGTCCGCGCTGCCCTAATAAGAGGATTTCACGCGAGTAGGAATCTACAGGCCGTGAAGCCCGTCCTCCTTGCTGATATTGGCGAAGGTGAGGATTCATTCATATTAGATCGTTATCTCCTCTTGTCTCCGTGTTGAAACTTACACCGCGTATAGGCATTGTGGAGTGCGAAATCATACAATGGTTTGTCGAACCCAACGCCCGAGTCGAGGAGTTCTCACCCCTGTGCGAGGTCCAGAGCGATAAAGCCTCGGTCGAAATCACAAGCCGCTTCTCGGGCGTTGTGAAGAAGCTGTACTACGAGGCCGGCGAAATGGCGAAAGTAGGCAAACCATTCGTGGATATTGATATACAAGGCAGCGCGGGTCAGGAAGCCTTAGACGCCCTTATCACGCCTGAGCCCTCAAAAAAAGGAGCCTCGCAGCCGTTGAACAAGGAATCGTTAAGCAAACCTACTCAGAGTCAAGATACTATAGATAAGGCAGTCGAGTCCAAGTCCCAGCCACCTCCAGTAAAGAAGGGGAAGTATGCATCTCTGGCAACTCCAGCGGTTCGACATCGGTTAAAGGAACTAAATATTGATATAATGGAAGTTGAGGGAACAGGGAAAGATGGCAGAGTTCTAAAAGAAGATATCTATAAATTTGTTGAAAAGAGAGATTCCCCTACGCAGCCGTCTCAACTAACAAGTTTATTCCCGGGCATAACCCCGGGCATACCCCCGGATACGGAGAGACAAACTGAGACCGCTATACAACTGACGAATACGCAACAACAAATGTTTAAAACTATGACTCGGTCTTTAGCCATACCGCACTTCCTCTACGCGGACGAGATCGACTTCTCTCAGCTAGTTGAGTTACGCCGGCGGCTCAACAAGGTCGTATCGGAATCCGCAACCGACGGTCAGTTATCGAAATTAACTTACTTACCTTTCATCGTAAAAGCAGTCTCCATAGCGTTACATCAGTATCCTATTCTGAATGCCCGCGTCGACGTGGACCCCGAGACCTCAAAACCGAGGTTGGTTCACCGCAGTCAGCACAATATCGGCGTCGCTATGGATACCCCCTCGGGGCTTATAGTTCCCGTAATCAAGAATGCTGGGGCGAAGAGCATCCTCTCCATAGCTGCAGAGTTATCACGTCTGCAATCGCTAGCTGCGTCTGGCAAGCTTTCGCCGCAGGACCTGAGCGGAGGCACTATTACCGTTTCCAATATAGGCAACATCGGCGGTACATATGTCTCCCCGGTCATCGTGGAGAAGGAAGTGGCTATTCTAGGCGTGGGACGCATGCGAACCGTGCCAGCCTTCGATGACCAGGACAATGTTGTCAAGAAGCAGGTCTGCAATTTCAGCTGGTGCGCCGATCATCGTGTCGTGGACGGCGCAACGATGGCGCGAGCCGCTGAGGTCGTGCGCAAGATCGTAGAGGAGCCAGATATTATGGTTCTGCATCTGCGATAGCATAAGCATGGAATTTCTTCTTGATGCCCAAACCCAAGATGGACACCGCGAGGGTGGAATAGACGGGACGCCACCCGCGTATCTATAGAGTGAACCAGTGTTAGGCGCGGCGGGCTCCAGGATATGATATGATAACTTTTGGAAGATGATATGTCATATACGATAGCCGGAAATCATAGTCGCAAGACTACCTATTACTCCATACATACCTAGCATAATAGCATACGTATTCCCCAATTCTGGTCGATGTGCATTCATGCATGCCCGGGTGTAGTCGTCACGCGTAGAGCTACCTACTACAGAGCGAGAGCCATCGGATTTTATAGCTCTTGGCGCTTAGGTATCGCGTATCGCCGTGTGAGGTAGAGATTTTATCCGTCGCCATCGTGTCCTACGCTCTCGACATCGAGTTCACGTGGATCCTTTCCTTTGTCCGGACTGGACCCCGTCGAATAGGAGGGCTATCACGCGGGAGACACAGCCACGTACAACACCCGTCCGATGCACGGGGCTGGAAGCGGAAACCGATGATGATGATGATGATGATGATGATGCTGACGCCGACGCCCGGCAAGTGTCAACTTCAGGCGTTTTCTTTGCGAGCCCCGGACGCTGGATGAAGCCTACAGCCCTGAGCCACCCTACGCATAGCTATCTCAACGGAAGCTAGGTATCTCTTATTAGTTCGAAAGCGGGCGTGGTTAGGGCGGCGCAGGGGTTTCCCGACGATCCATCTCCTCTCCGCCTGTCGTGTCCGTGTACCATGTACGTATATGTAGACCAGATGCCTATATGTAGATGCCCGCATGCCCGCCCGCCTGTTTGCATCTCTGGGCGGATCTTGGCTGCGTGTGAGGATCCATGATCCTACCGTCCCACTAGTGGAACCTGTTCCCCGAACGGGGTGATTATTCATGGGTCGGGCTCAGAACGGCGATGGCCTTGCCCGTTTCTACGCGAGCAGGACAGCGGTATGTATGTATGTATGCAGATGCGCGGCCATCTCTGGGTACGCCCCAGAAGGGTGGCTATACGAGATGTGTCGACATAACTATGTATGTACAACCTGAAGAAGGGACTATCCTAGAATCAATATTCTATCGAGTCCCGACACCTTCCTCATAAGGTCGATGCCGTCCATCTACACTATATCGGTAGGTAGATCTATTCACCCCAAAGGCCAAAAGCACAGTTCAAGCGGGTCCTGCAGCCGCCCCCATACGTGACCCCCATACGACGTATGGCATACGTGATATGAATATCTCATTGCTCTATAATCCAATTGTATCATCTGTATGAATATCCCAGGACTCCTATACAACAGCTCACGCTGCTTGCATGATGCAGTTTACTCGAAACGGGCATCCCCTCAGCCAAAAGCCTCTAATTGCGCCAAAAGTGAAAGCATGGAACCAACTCCTAAACTCG